GATGTGGGAAAGTTTTAAGGAAGCAATCCGACAAAAAAATATTGTTTGGGTACTAGAATTTATAAATAGTGGAGGGACTAAACGTTGTGCATTGAACCATCATAGCTGTTGCTAATTCTTCTGAGATAATTCAAAATTGACTTTCAAACTTGTATTCGGCAAGGATTGAACACTGACATGTTTGACAATTAAACATTCGAAGTCATTCACCTTTGGTTTTTTTGGCATTCAAGAACAGAAGGGAACGATTATTTTTGAAATGGCACCAAGAACCTTTGTTGCTTTTCTGAATTAATTAGTGATCATAACAAAAGATTGCTTGTTATTTGTCTTAATGAGTACTGACTGTAACAACACTGCACCTACTCAAAATGCTTGTACATATTGGTAGGATTTGAACCCATCTCTTTCAAGAAATATGTGTTGATCATAAGAAAAGATAGACAGGATTTGTCCAAATGACAGTAACTCACTACACTTCTTCGAAATGCATGAGAAATACTGAGGTAGGAGACCGTTCTGTCTCACTTCAGATTCAAACTCATGCTACCTGAAATTGTCAGTAAAATTTTGTATGTTCTCAATGGAATTTGAATCCAAGATCCCCCTTTTATAGCTGTTGAGTTATGAGAAACATTACCATGCAAGTTGCAGAAACTGATCTGAATTGCTTATTCTGATGTTTCTTCATGTGTCAGTTTACAGTGGAATGATTCGTGCGAACAAGGCTCGTTAATGGTTATTATTCAGTATACGCCATGGCAGGCTATTCTGATTATCCATGGTGAGAATGATAAGGGATTCATGTTCTTTTTTTGAATACACTTCCGTACAAAATTTCTCCAACGAAGAAATTTCGCGTCGAAAAATCCGGATAACAAACTATGGATGATTACATTTTTTCTTTTGGCAGAAACAAACAATGCTTCGGTGAATTATAAATTACATCACATATACACATGGAATCTCAGCATTATCACTTTGGAGCTTGGACATTTAGTACCTTAGCAGCTCATCAGAAAACTTCAGGTAAGTGTTTGTCTTCCAGGAATGACTTAAATAACATGAGTGATCTCTCCGGCTGTGAGAATGGAGCTTCATGAGAAGCGCCTCTGATGGTAGCAAATGAGAGGATGTTACCATAAACCTGAGTCCAACCACCAACCTAAAAGGAAGTATATGAAATCAGTATTCTGATATGATTGCTAAAAGAAAGCTCACTTAGCTGCCTGTTGAGAAGCATTTACCTGTTTTCCTGCAAACCAAGCTCTGTAAGGGACGGTCGTATTGAGTCCCAGATCTTTTGCCAGTCTGTGGACAAGCGTGCGGCTACCAGTCAAAGGAATAACAGAATCTTGGTCTCCACTGTGAGATTTATATACTTAATACAAACTTGAACACTCATTAATCTTATTCGAGAACAATTTTAGTGTTTGCTTACCTGTAAACCAAAACTGAAATTCCAGCCTTGATAAGTGATCCAAGAATATTGATTGTTGGTATCTCTATGTTAAGCATCTCATAATCCAGAATGCTGTGTTTGACAAAGTAGTAATTTCAATTGAAGAACAATGAAAGAGTTATAGGCTTATAGTGAAATTCTTTTTCTCAATTTTATAGGACCATATGACCATATAACATCTTCGCAGATGGGATGTTACCAAAATATGGCTATTGCAGAAGATGTTAGCTAGGACAAGAAAATTACTTGCTGCAAACTTCCCATCTGCGAACTCCGATAAGCCGAGCATGGAGAGCCCTCCAGACATCCTTCCGATTCAGATAATTCACAGTTTCATCTTCTATACAAACATCAATCCTCTCAGATACTTGCTGTCAAAGGAAAATTAGGAGCAAAAAAGTTTCAGGCACACTTTGACAATAATGCAGACAAGGGGAAATAGAGAAATTGATTTTACTGGGAAGACTTACCTTGGGACTTATGAACTTTGATTGTGAGAGGACTGAAGAAACACAAACGTCAAGGGTAACATCATATTTGTCCACAAACCTACTGGTTTCTCTGCTAACTTGTTTCATAACTAGTGAACAAATAGATGAAACCGAGTCTCTGTAATATTCACTCACATATCTTGAATAGTTACAAGTAGAAGTGAACATTTTGTATGTTGAATCTGATATCAATCCATGAGACCAGAAGTACTCAGCCCTTGAATTTAAGTCTGTAGCAAATTCCAGAACAGGATTACCTAGCTACGATGGGAAAAAAATTGTGTCACAAAGAGGACTAATCACATGTGAAATCCTACTTGACTGGCCGAAGCAATGTCAATGCAATTCAATTAGTTCAATTCTGGGAAAAGGCTAGAATTTCTGTCACACAAATATGATGCAATAATCCTTACCGCAATTCCTTTCAAACTGAATAACTTCCCCTTCTTGTTAATTTCAACCATAAGCTTTGCAAGTTGAGGAATATAGTGGCCTGGAATCAATGAGAAAAATAAAGGGCAGTGATATTAAAATTTCTTGTTGTTTATAGTTGGATTAAGAGATGGAAATCGATGTATACAAGAGCATATACCTGCATAACTTTCCCCTGTTATAAACAAATCTCTGTTCCTATACCGAGGGAATTTGTTGTACCAGCCTTGCAAGAACAAAAGATTGTCCCTGGCTTAAGAAAACAAAGTAAAAACAGCTTTAGAAGATGGTACAAAACTCTAAAGTGTTTAATAAAGGTAATAATGATGCTTTCAGGAGATTAATGATGCATCTCAACAACCTAAATATTTTCTAAAGAAGAAAAAGCTCACCTTTTTCATTTTGGTTCTATCTTTTTTGGGTTTGGTGGGGGGACAAAAACCACTGTTTTATCTGAAACTTTATAATGGCATATGCAGGCTTAATCGTACTTTTCAATAAACCATAACTTCTCAAGAAGGAAAAATTTATGCTTTTATGTTTAAAGAGTGATAGTGGGCTACAATTTGGTGATAAAGCTTCTGTAACAATGAGTTCAACATCACATTCATTTGTGCCACTCAACAAAAGGAATGAGAAAGAAAGCTTTGAAGTTGATGGACTGTACCTGTTGCCTCATCATCTACTGCCATATAGGAGGAGCTATTTGTAGCGTAAGAGAACCCCACACCTACAGGTGTCTCCAAATACAACATATTTGCTTCTGCAATACATTTGGACACGAAAATATTCTTAACTCTATAATCATGTTTAAATTTTCAAGAAAGAGAAACAAAAATGAGACTGTGTTTGTACCTCTATTCCAGCTATGCTCATTTCTAATCAAAACTCTCCCATTAGGTCTAAAAGGGCCATTTTCAGAGAATGCCCCTACTCCCAGAGAAGAGCAGCCAGGCCCTACGAATTACAGATACGGCACGTCAATGAAAACTCACAAGTTTCAAACCAAAGAATGTAAATCAATTTTCTTTCCAAACAGTAGACATTTGCCAGGCCTTAAATATGAAGCAAGGTGAGTAGCTGCAAACCTCCGTTCAGCCAGAGAACCAAAGGCTTTGATGCTGGATCTATTTCTGCTTCAACAAAGTAATAAAAAAGAGCTCTATGCTTGTCCTCATCCACAGTAACATAACCTGAAAATTGTTGGAAGCTCGCATGGGGTTGCCCAGGAAGCCTAGCAATCTTATCAGGATGAGGTACAGAAGACTCTAAACTCATGGAAATGCAGAACTGAACCAGCAGTGCAGCCATTGCCATGGATTTCCATGTTTGAGAATGCATAATTTCAGAAAGTGAAAGATGACTGAGACAAAGCGTTTCAAGAGAAAAGCCTGTTTAAAATGTTGCTCAGTGGAGGACACCGAGTTGAGGGTGGGGTATATAATAAATAACTAGGCTTGTTTTTTATATTATCATTACATCTCTAGCTTTTTGCTTGCAGGCCTGAAAATGGTGTGTTTGAAAGAGATGTGAGAGAGACTCAAACAACTAGAGAGGGTTGTGCTAGTGCTTACTACTGGGGCTAGAGCTGAGTCAGCACATATGGTTGGCATTTCGAAAAGGAAAAGAGAGAATGGAATCTGTACTGCTTTTAACTATTGGATCCTTGAATTCTCTTTCAGAAATTACAGTAACTTTGTTTTGTTTTGGTTTTTCAAGAGAACTGTACCGACCAGGCAATTAGGCATCCACAAATACCTTGTATCCTTCTATACTACTGTAAAAAGACGGGGTATGTTCACTGGAAAGTGGCTTTCCAGGATTACTTTTCATTTCTCAGAATATGTGTGGAACTGAATAATATTTATTAGTTTCTCGAGAAAATCCAGAAAGACTATGGCAGGACTTATCAACCTTGACAGTTTCTTTTTTGCTTTTCCAAAATTTGGCTTGATTGATCAACTTTTCTTGAATTACAAGTAAATCTAGTTTTCTAATTCGAGAAGACTTCACGATTGACAGAACAGAGAGACAATTCACAATAGGGAGATTTCAGGAGATGTTCACATGCATGATTTGTTTTAGTATTTCAATTGGTACATTCCCTCTAAGCAAAAGTTGCCTAAAAATCCATAGATTTCAACTGATTAAGTGATTATGAAGATGGGCAAAGGTCCTTTGACATGGTCTTTCTTCCAAAAAGTACAATTAGCATAAGCATACACTCTCTACTACTATATCGCATATTCTTTTTGTACTTATACGAGATTAGGGCTTTGTATTAATGAGGTCTCCATCTTTTTTTAGGAAAAGTTTTCTTCTTAAATGCAATGGTCCACACTTCACACCCACCACATGTTCCTCATCATAGCTTCAAAACATCTAATTATAGCTTCTAATGGGTCCTCACACTCTCGTAACTACATCACAAAATGAGCTTAGCCTATGGTCTAAAAATCACCACCAAATTTCAGGAACAAATGAACAATGTAATGTGACATAGATAATGGCAATAGAAAAGTGTAGTCTTTGCTAGTGATGGATTGCTTATAATGATGGGCAAAAGACCAATGCTTTCACTAATGGCAACTGCACAAACAATAAGATGTAAAACCCTAACCTTGCTGGCGTTCCCGATCACGGACACAAATACTATGATGCCTAGTGTTTGGACCACTCTTGAGAAAAGCTATAGAGCGTAGGGCACTGGGCCTCGTCTACTCAAGATAAGAAGGGAAAGAAACTCATTTTGGATATAAAGAAGCCTACAAACAAGCAGAAACATGACAAAATCCGATCTCTTGAATGATGTTTGGCATTGCTATGTAGCTGTCCAATTTGCAAGAAATGGACCCAACGTAATGAAATTTAACCAAAGTATCATCATTTCTATCATTACTTACCCCACTATCACTGATTTATAGGAACTTTTCTTCATCATCCTGAGTAAAAATGGGTGTGATTAATTAATACTCCGTTTCAATCTCAATGATAAAAACGATTTCATTTCGCAGTAGTTAATTTGAGATCATTTTGTTACATATAGTTACCAAAAATAGGTGTAATCTACAAGAAAGGCAATTGGGCAATTTTGAAACCCTTTTTTCTACAAAAACAATGGGAGGTGGTTGGCTGAATCAGAGTTGGAAAATGTGATAGTGGGAAGAGTGGTTTATGTTGGCCTTTGAACTCCTGCAATGAAAGCAAAGGTTCACTTTTTTCCCTTTCTCCCTTTGCTTCCTCTTTTTCTCAGCTCCTTTCTGGGTTAATTTATGTTACATAGTGGGGAAAAGCTGATCAACTTTTTTATTCTACTGAAGGTTGCTTGCCTTTACTGGTATGGCTGAAATGCCGCATGCCACATTTGCCACCCATTAAATTTAGCTTTTAATTTAATCTGTTGAAATAAAAGTTTTGATTCTGCCTTTGTCTTGTTAAAGGAATAACTACTGCCTTGGGTTTATACTATAGGTAGGAAGATCTTGAGGCAACGTGCGAGTCATTACGCCCGTTATAGACAAACAAATTATAAATTAATTCCTCTAGTCTTGCAAAACATACTAAATTTCAAAAACTAATTATATAGTCTCTTGACCACTATTAACCATAGTTAATTTAAGATCATTTTGTTTCAAAAAATATCTACTTTTTCATCAATTTTTTTCATATTTATTTTTATTTATTAAAAAACAATGAAAAGGATCAAGTTATAAATAAATTTTAAAAATATAAAGACTAATTTATTAATTATTGAGACTATAGGGACTATATAATTTCTTTTAAAAAGCAGAGGAACTAATTTATAATTTAGTCGTTAAGACTTTCACGGTTGACAAAAAAAAAAAAAAAAAAAAAAAGTCAGACCCACAGCAACCCATTTTGATGGCAAATCATTTTCATTTGGCAAGGACCTGCCCCTTGTTTCGTCTTGGACCAAAATAAAATTGAGCTGAATATTTGAAAGAACAACCGAGTAAAATCGAACCCTCCTCCGTATTACGCACAGCAAAGTTGTCGATTTGGGCTCAACTTCCATTTGCAAAAAATGTTTTCAGACTAAAAAAACGATTAAGTTGATTTTTATGCATATTTTTTACATCAGTATATCAAATTGATGTTTTTTTTTCAAAAACATTAAAAAAAAAAAAACATCAAATTGATGTTTTTTCAGCCTAGACAGTACGAAAAGCACTGCCCAACACACCTTAGATGAAGGGAAACCTGCAGATAAGGTCTCATGGAATTTGAAGATAACACATTTTAAAATTTCTCAAACGAATTAGATGAACAGGAAAGCAATACCAGACCACAGGGCAATACAAAAGCGAAGCATCAGTATATTGAACAATTTCTTGAATTATTACTTTCCACGTAACATGTGCAAAGTGACATCAAACAACGGTTTTTGCCTTCGCCACACGAATTGCATAAATACAAAATTTAAGTTGTAAAGCAACCACTAATTTCACGTACTTCACTCTTCATATCCAGTCTGAGTATCATATAGACAAAGCCTAATTTCAGCCTCACAAACTGTGTTGTGTGTAGAAGTTTGAAGGAGAAATATAGCGATAATTGATTGTGGAGAAGAAAAATATATATAAAAATGAAAATTACATACATAAAATTGGCACAAACAACTTACAAGGAAAAATGGAAGGAAAGAATGTAGCTATTTAAACTGGCAACCGTTATGAAGACAGCTCTGAATCCGTGCGTTTATGGTTAGCAACTGGGGCAAAAGAAGACTGATCAATTTCTCTCCGAGATGCTTCCCATAGTTGTTGCTCTATGCTCAACTTCCTCAGCTCCAATACACCTCGCTGAACTGCAACAAGGAAACCAGGTGAAAACATCACAGTACTGCACATGCATCTATCGAAGCAAAATGTAAATAAGATCTCACCACCAAGTCTGCCAGTATAAGAGGTCTTCAAGTTCGTATACATCTCACATTATTTAACTTCTTTTTTCACATCACTTTGCAATTTCATAACAGCCTTTGACAAGAGGTTTTCCAGGCCATTCAGCATGGTGGAGAGAGTTTATGACTGACCATTTGAATAATAGGTAAAATTCAACCTAGCTGGCCTGCTCAATATTGGATCTAAAAACATTTGTATATTTTAATTAATCTCCGTCCAAAAGTCCTACTGTAAATGAGATTGAAGCAAAAAAAACATGCACATCGACCTAGACAACAAGTTGTCATCAATGGACCACGAGGACTTTTTTTTTTAAATAGGTTTTTGCAAATGATACCCTGGACCATAAATAGCTAAACAAAGCACATAGTTGATGCCTGTTTACTAGAATTTTGTTATAAAAGCGTATAAAAAATTACCATCCACAGCATCATGAGAAGTTGGTGACTGCCCACTACGACTAATCCAAAACTGAAGCCGGTCTTCTGCAATATCCTCTTCCACACCATGTACTAAGGCTCTTCTCCAATAATAAGTTAGCCAAGCCTGCACATAAAAATTCAAGCATTCTTTAATCAACATATACAAAACTCTGGTACTAATCACCTGTTGCAATAAGAAGATAATTAGAAGCCTAATGAACCACAATTTGAAAACTCACTCATTGCAAATGTTGTAACCACATAATATTTAAAAACACGTTCAGAATAAACAGACAGGGCAACCTTACATGAAATGTTTACACGAGCAAGAAAGACAAACGAGAGGTCAGATTTAGGTATATGATTTTAATGGCTACCCCCTAGACCATGATTTATTATTTCAGCCCATGCATGCTGGAGCAAAAAGAAAGTTAAAATCTAGGGACACTTACATAGAAAGGTATCCAACTAGAATAGGTTATGTGGAAAATTTGGTATGGCCTTATAGAAGAAAAAACTCGGGAGCAAAACACTGTTTTGTCGGTCTTATTGTTGTTATTGTTATCCCAACATATAACACCAGTCTGTGGTTGTTATAGAGTCAATTGTGTAATTCATTTAGGCTTAGCTTAAACTTTCATGTTTGGATGCTTTAACAGTTGGAAGACATAATAAATACATGGATGGAGTGAGGTCTAGGATTCCACTCTAGCCTGAAATAATTTCACAGAAGTAATAGAAGTATAATACAGACCTCCTTGTGCCTGTGGAACTACAAAGGCTTTGCAATGCTAGACTAGACCTAGAGGATCATGAAAAGGTACGGTATAAAGAAGGAAACTCTCATTTCCTCTCTATGCACTTGAGCATGGAATAAAAGAAATAATGGCTTTGTATTTTATCAAAGTCCTATAGTAATTGTAAAATGAAAAACAGCGACTACAAATAAGACAGTAACTGACCGCTTTGAAAAGAACATCTTCTGCCTCTGCTTCACTTAATTCTGCAGCAAAAAACAAGGCAGGGGCTTGTTAATTTTATTTCACAAAACATAACTTTACGACAGATAAGTTACACCTCTTACCAATGGCCTCAGTATACTTGGCATCACTTGGTGGCCTTGAATCTGAAAACCCAAAAAGAGAGACAGAGAGAGAGAGAGAGAGAGAGAGAGAGAGAGAGAGAGGAAAAATAAATGCCAAGATATCATGTTTTCTTTTGTAAGAACTGCTTCAAAAGGTAATATACATCAACAATAAGCATCCAAAAATCAGATATAGTATGGAAAAATTTTCAGCAACTCAGCGCAACATTTATTGGATGCCATATCTTAGTATTCCAAATCACAAGACTATCATAACACATCACAAAAGACTAAATAAAAAGCTTGAAATATTCATACTACAAAAGAAGGAAAAGCACTTATCGAAATGCCATACACATATCATAGCCAAGATATTCAACCAACGCAATTGACAAGTGGTACACAGATAACTTATAAATGAAAGAGGCAAATATACCTGGGACGGATTGTCGAACTATACTTGCTCGTCTGTGTTGAGCCAGAGCAAGTACAACTGCATCCTCAACCTTATAAGAGGGTGAGGTGTGACATTATCAGAACAAAAAAAAATAAACAAACTGCATGTTATTTAAAAAATAATAATAATAATACAGTAAAAGAAATCATTACAAGCAATTCTTGAAATCCATGTCAACTGAAGAAATAAACACAAGTAAACTACAAAATATATAGCTTTATGAAATGCAACTGATAAATAAATACATCAAAGAAAATAAAACTAAAATAACTGACAATAAAGTAAAAATATATATATTTTTTAGGGAAAAAATGACCTTTAAAGAAGCTAATTCCCGCAATCCCATTTCAACTGAAAGCATACTCTCAATATTTCCTTCTCCAGTAAGATCACTCAAATCACGAACTAGTTTACTCCTATCTGGATCGCCACCACCTGTTCCATTTACACAACATTAGAGATTATAAGATTAATTAATGGGCAAGTAATGAACAAAATTAATCAAAGAAAACAATAACTGCAAATAAGATAATAAGCAATCATCAAACTAGCCTCGATCTGACTCCTCCTTAGCCTTTTGTCCAGCAGAGATGACAACTTCAAACGGAAGAGGAGCTAGAGCAGACCAATGCTCGTACTTGGACACTGCTATATCTGCACAAATCCCTTAAGGCACAAAAGAAACAGAAGAAAGGCAGTTTAGTAGTGACCAAAGGACTCAGTTCCAAGCTTGGGCATGTGTAAGAAACAATAATGTAAACATTTTCTTTCTCTGCCACACCAGAAGAATGAAGAGACCGAATGAGTCCGCCAGGGATAGAAAAAATAAGCATCATGGGACTAATAGGTCTGCTGTGGTGCAAGATTGCAAATGAATAGCCAATAGGCCCAAAATAACAATATTGTACACATTAGGGATGTTCAAAGTATCTGATCCATCTACATCATCTGATCTGACCTGACCCAACCCATAAAATCAAGCTGTTGGATATATCAAACAGTCAGGCCAATAAAGCTAGCACATGGATCATGCTGCTTGGGTTGCAGGTCAGGATTTTGAAAACCCACCAAACCCAACCCAACCACAGAAGGATATAAGTTGACTGTTGGGTTTTTAGTGGCAGTGGTGGCCCTAGCCTTAGAAAACAGACCCAATCGGTCATTTATATACAAAGGGGGATTGGAAGCTAGATCCAATATATCGCCATGGTTTCATCGGATTCAAGTAAGATAGCTAGTGTTGTTTGTCTATTTTTGTTAAGCTTTGGCTACGAAGGCAACTGTTCATCTAAGTTCCCTTATTCCTACCTAACCTGTGGTTATCTGCATTATCTGTGAAGAAGTTATCCAACCTGCTCATCCGACCCGTTCAAGCTTTGCACAGGGGACAATGTTGGAGAAATTGAAAAGTCGGGTTGGATAACAAAATAAGGCCCAACCCGACCCGTGCACACCCCTAGTATATATCAAGGATGTTGGCAATAGAGAGATGACGACCACGATCCATTAACAAAGGTTTAAAGAAGGTCTTCTATGATTGCTATCCAGTGTTGATAAAAAGTTTAGAAACCCATCAAATTGCACTATCATAACTAATAAGTTAACTGGCTTCATGCACCACTGTCTGTATGCTCCTACAAACATGGACATGTAATTCAAAGCATGCAAACATTTTGCCTATTAAGCAGGAAAACATTATATCAAGTTGATTACCATGCTGTACAGCTAAACCCCAGTAGCGTGCAAGCCAACATCTCTTCAGGACAACCTCCTCCTAAAAGATATGTGCAACAAACAGTTAACAGATAACATCTATAAGATATGTGCATCAAACAGTAAACATCTATAAGGCTAAATATAAACCTCAACTTCAATTTAATGCACACACCATCTCTTCCTGAGTCAAAACCATTCTTTGTGTCATCATCCGAAGAGATTTTGTCTCAGATTCAGCTTCTCGGAGCTGTTCCACAGCTGTTGTGGCGTCATCTTTCAAGTTCTGGTTTGGAAAATGAGGTTAGGCTTGACATCTCAAGGTAAATGATGACAACAGACACCAAATGGAAGAATTATCATACCCTACCTCAAGTTCTGTACGAAGGATTGCAATTTCTGCATCTCTCCCTGTTGATTGTTTTGCAGCTTTAAGAGCAGCCTGCGACACAAATTTTTTTCAGCAATGGAACAGAAATTGTAGAAGAATAAGATTAAGCACCCTAATGATAAAAAAAGAGCAAGAGCACTCTCAAAAGAGCAACAGGTTTTATTGATACTCTTAACCCAATCCAGAAGAAAAAAAGTGAACATAGGTAATAAAGAAAAAGGGACAAGTAATGGACCAGCCACCAATTTATGTTCCTGAAGAGCATGGGAAATCAAAGACGAAGTAAAAATACTCTACTCTCACTCATATCTGCTCCACTGGCATGTGGAACCCAAACTCACCTCTCTTTGACGCAATGCTGCTTCCTTCCTATTTAAAAATAAAAAAATAAAAATCAGAACCAGGAAATCAAATAAGCTTGCAGGAGAGACAAAACCAACCAGGCTTACCGGCTCAACAGTTTAGCTTCTAGGGATACACCCTCTCCAAGAGCAGCAACCTATTAATAGCAGAAATGGAAATGGAATAAGATCTTCAAATCATTGGCAAAAACACAACCATGCAGGAAAATTTAGGGTGCTTTCAACAACTAAACTGATTTGAGCTATAATTCCCAACCAAATTGGAGCATGTGCAGCAACTCAAGTGAATCAAATGGTGAATTCCAAATATGCTGAGGCATGTTCAACAGTTTCACATGAATATAGAACTCGAGAACCAAAAAAAAAAAAAAAAAACCTTGACGGAACAGAAATTTATCCAAAATAACCTAGCGTGGCCAAACATGAGAAGAAAAGGCAATTGGATCAACAAGTAGAGCCATATGCATGACAACATGGTGAGTTGTATACAAGCAGACAACTGGATATTGCTAGATAAAAACAATGCAGACCTTAAAACACTCAATTTCATGCTCAGAAAACACAGAATAAAATGTTTCCCAATGGTTGCATAATGAACAAAAGTGTCGGACATGAGGAAAAGGAAATATAAGCAAATAATCATAGTTACATGTAACGACAATGCGATTCTAAACGTTGAGATATGTTTCCTAAGAGCTGTGTCGCTCTAATTCTGCAGGTAAGCCCTATCCACATTGCATATGAAATAAAATGTCCATGCTTTATGGAGACTCCCTGAAACGTATTCTAGACTTCTTAAATGTAACCAGTACCAGCAACACGATAGTAGTATATTAGCTTGTGAGTTACCAAACAGAAAGAAAACTGGTCGACTTGCTGGCTTTCCCTAGCACACACACCAATTAGATAGTAGGCACAAGTCCACTAGGAACTCATCAAACTGAACTTGTAGAGTAAGACCTCCACTCAATATGGTGTGTTTCAGTGCTCTTCTCTAGGTATGCTTCAAAACATCCCTTTGTACTGTAGAGCCAGTTTCCTTTTCTTTTGTTTCTATTTCCCCATTAAAGAAAAGGATACTGCCTTTTATCCAGCCAATCAGGCATATAAACAATTCTACACTGATCTAGAAAAAAAAATAGCAAGAACATGTGTTTGACACTGATAAGAGTTGCACAATACAATCACTGTACAGACAGTTTCTTTTTCTTTTCTTTCTTTTTTTTTTTCCTTCCTTTTCCCCATTAAAGACAAGAGTACTAAAAAATGATACTGCCCTTTTATCCAGTCAACCAGGCATATAAACAATTTTGTATACTGATCCATAAAAAATAAAAGCAAGAAAATAAGCTTGACGCTTATAAGATACTAGACTTGTTTGCAACTTGTATCAATGCCAACATGCTGAAGAAGAGAATTTACAAATAGCAAAACTAATGACTAAATGATATAGCTTACCTGTTTCTCAAGCTCCCTAGCTCTAGCCTCTGCCTCCTCACGTTTTTCTTCAGCACTTCGAAGCTGCATGGCAAACTCAGATATATATGTTAAACATCACAGGACAAGGCCATAACAAACCATTTAATTTTTCATGGGGGATTACACACCTTGTCAAGTATAACTTCATTTTCTTCTTGTAGCATATCAAGCTGCAAAATTTAGCTCATTATAGCTTCAAACCAACTTGGTTCAGCCAATATATAGCTGTCTTCAATAAATAAAAGAAATTGTAAGCCTGTTATCAACCATAGGTAAGAACGACATACTTCATCCCGAAGTGCTGAAGCTTCACGCTGATCTCCTGCATCAGTCTTAATTTGTCCAATGTCTGATGTAAACCTGCGGTAATTGGCAACGATAATATTCATCAAATGCATAACAGCAATTGAATGCAAGCAAATAAAAGTCTATACTCAGGTTAATTGATAAATGGATGACCTTATAGTTCATTTTGTAAATCCATATTACCCACACAAAAAATTAAAACCAAAACAAATTAAAAGCTAAGCCTATAGCTGTAGGTACCATAAGCGACATTTACTTCCACTAGCTTAAAAGCATCAAATAGAAAGAAAAGGAAAAAAGTACAACAAGAGCCAATAAGTCACTGACCTCTTATTAGCTGCACTCCTACTGGATGGAGTATCGATAGGAGGTATGGAAATGGGAGTTCTTATTGATTGTTTGCTAGGAGGCACTCCTGTCGCAGAACGAACTGACATAGATGGCCTTCCAGCCGATGTAGACCGAACTGAAGGCACATTCTCCATAAAGTTCCGACCTAACTAATTAAAAATACCAAATCTCCAATTAGCCTGAATCAAATCAAACCCTAACACACACGCGCGCGTATAGATACATAAATAACCTCAAAAAACCAAAATTGAATCTCCAAACTCAACTTTAACAGAATTGAAATCAGATAATCAAAATTGAAAATGACCGTAATTGACGCCTAATTATCCATATAAAAGCATCAAATATCGAAATTGCCACTGCAAGCAGAGATCTGTATATCAATGTAGCAACTACTACTGTCTACTAGCACTAGTTCTTAAAAACAATATAATCTAAAAATTCAAATTCAAATCGAATTATTCATTTAAAATTGGAAAACGCGCTGTAAGCGCTCGAAATTACCGCAGGAGAAGGAGATCTATTAGGTCTAGTAACCGAAACACCATTACTACTCCCTCTATGATTAACACTACTAAACCCCGAGGAAGCAGAAACCGGAGCCGGTGGAGCAGGGAATCGGAACCCAAGATCATCGTCATCATCGTCGTCATCTGCCGTCTGCGAAGACGCCATCACCTGAGCTAGCCGTTGGGCAGCGGCCTTCGCGGCGACGTTTTGTGTGCGCTTGATAGTTGACATGCTTGAACCTAGCCGTGAGCTTGGGTGTGCCGGTGACATCGTGGCAGGCGATGACGAGCCCGTGCTGCTTGAACCACGTGAATCGCTGCTCCACTGCCGCGTATACACCGGACTCCCCGTCCTCCTCCGATCCATTTACGTGTAAAGATTTTAAATCTCTTTCCTATTTATACGTATTCGTATGTGTATAGGTGTCCGTATTTTTTTGTGTCTGGCAGGGAGCGAGGATTTTGAGAGAGCTGAATTTTTTGTCGAGGAAATCGAGGGAGGAGGGAGAGAAAGGAGGCGGTTGAATAATTTCGGAGCTCTGAGTGTCGTAGAAGTTGAAGCTTGAAAACGAAAACGAAATGGAGAGTTTTGACTACACATCAGTGTCTTAGGTATCAAGACATTTCAATTGAGTATCCAAAAATAAAAATTAAGAAAATCCTATATTTTTTTTTATTAAAAAAAAAATCATAATGTTCCTCCTAGTTTATAGATCTCTTTCTAATTAGGTATTAAACACATCATCCATCATTTGAATTTATACCTAATTATTATCACGTCAAAGAAAGTGCATAAGAAATGAATTTAATAAATTGCTTTTTTGGGTAAAAAAAAAAATGGGAGGCTATCTTTGCATGATATTGGGTAGAAAATAGAGTTAATTGAGGGTTAATTAGCTTAATTTGAAACTTTTTTGAGGAATTTAAAACTATATTTATAACTTAGAAACTTAGCTATAGTTTTACCAAATTTTGGCTTAAACGACGTGCCGTTTCCAGGGGGTTGACACTATTGCGAATTTCGCGGGAGACAATATGCTGTAGATTATGAGTGGAAAATGGGGGGACCCAAAGTAGTTGATGATCTTGAAGCGAGACTGTGGGAGACGTGGCCGATATGTTTACGCTGTCCCGATATCTCGGTGATCTGTCAGTGAGTTCCGGACAGAGGATTTTGGCGGCGCCGTAAATTTTTTTAATTCGGTGAACTGTTTTTGATCAGAAAAGAAAAGGTGCAAGCCATTTGGACAAAAGACACGGTCGCATGGAGCCTTTCCAACATGGACCCAAAAAAATTAACCCTCCATATGGACTTAAGGAATTAATTAAGCCCAAAACAGAATAACTAAGAAAACCTTAAAAAATTATTATGAATTAAATACCAAAAACACCGTCATAAGAATTCTTATATTCCTTTTCTTCGAATTAATTTGCTAGCTCATGCTATTGGCCAAGAATTAAAGTAAAAAAAAAAAAAAATTCTTTATTAGTTTGTTTGAAAAGGGAGAAAAAAAAGTTTCATAAATTATATAAACAACCACTAATAACATAAATTGTATCATTTCATTTATTTTAAAGCTGGATAAATATCATTCAATATTATATGAGGTCAAATTTGTATGCAAAGAAAGGGCAGCATTTATCTGTTTTTTAAAAGATTTTTTTTTTTTTTTTTTTGGAGATTTAATTCGTTGTAGTTTTAGGACGTGTAGTGTAAAGATCTATTTATTTATTTGAGTTTTAAGATAAAGTCAATGAAGAAATGTTATTATCCATATAACTATGACAATGTAATATTAATTTTTCAAAATTACACATAAAAAAAAATTCACTGGGTCCCGAAAGTGAGGGACAAAATAATAATTAGTATATTTTATCATTAATAACATAATGGCATTGAATATAATTCCACATAGGAGTATGTTTTTTTAAAAAATGTATATATAAACTATCTAAAACATAGATCAAATTAGATTTATTTAGAAACTTCAAAAAAATAGATGTTATAACTATATATAGATATAGTTTTGTAAAGGAAGAACTTTCTTTCAAAATGGTAGGGAAAATCGTTTAATAATCAAATTTCATCCTTTTCTCAATAAACATATGGTTAAATGACTCAAACATTTCCTAAACTTTAATGTAATTGAAAATTAGTTTTTAAGTTTCTAATTTCGAATTGACCTTCTTAAACATTTTTTTTTTTGGTAAAAAATAATAGTTATACAATAGCTCCACAATAGAAATCATTTAGTAAAATTATCTAAAATTTCTCGGAAAATTTACAATCATTTTAAGTTATTTTTTATTTTTTACTTTTTTAATATTTATATATATATATAGACACATGCACGTACACTTTCCCACTTTGAAAACTTTTGAAATATTTTCAAAAAATAGATTGAATTTTTCTAACATGCGTGCAAAAATTAATCTCATAATATCAAAAATGGAATTTTTGTAAAGAGGAAGATGGTAACCGAAACTAATAGGATGAACTAAATGTAAGAAAAATTCAAAGAGGTCAAATTCAAAATTAGAAGTTTAGAAATTTATTTTCAAATAAATTAAAATTCAGAAGAAGTTTATCCCCTCTAACCTAAACATATTAGGAGAAAGGGTACAAAATTGACGATAAGAAAACAAAACAATGCCTATCATAACACTCTATAACTATTACATAGGATTAAATGTTCATATTTGTCTATTATAGCACAAAATTTAATATAAATTACATAAATAAACTACATCCAACCCGTCTAACAATAGGTGGACATCCAGCTAGTTATGTCTTAATATGTGAAAATACAACCGTGAAAATCAAAGTTAAAAATCTTATAAATGGAAATTTAATAATCTCCTAAGTGAAATTCGAATAAAGAGTTTTGATGTAATCAAATTTTCATATATTTTTAATCTTATTATGATGAAAACTTTTGTAACAAAATAATATTCTAAATCCAAAAAATTAAAAGATGAGTATTAAAAGTTACAAGAAAAACCAATATCATAAGGACTAAAAATATACATTAGTTAGGGCAAAATAAAACAATTATTTTTCAATCAATAAAATTAAGATGTTTTTTTTTATCAATGATCAAATCGAGATGGGTTTATATACTCTCTAACTTTGAGGATGGGACAAATATATTATGAGTATCACAAATATTAAGAACCATTAAATAATTGCAACACATAGAATTATTGATTAGGGCATTCTATCTAATATGCATTAATCTATATTTATACGAGAAAATGCCTATCTTGTTATACATCAAAAAAATTCAATTTTTTTAGGTTTCGATCTACCTCTTTTAATTATTTTATGGTTTAAAACCACAATGAATGCATTTTTCTCACCAAAATAAACAATATAAATATAAGATCGACTACAAAAGAGCCAAAATTAGAGTGATCATGGCTTTCTCTCTTACGTCTTTGCATGTAGGTATCAAATTATAACATCAATAACCTTGAAGATCAAAATAAAAAATTTGAAAGCATCGGATATCAAAATATAATATGAGAAAACATGAAAATTATAAAAATATAGAAATATTACGAAATAAATGATAACAACAATAGAACTAGAGAGAAAAATAATAGAGAAATGATTTCACTATGAAATAAAGAGAATACAAGAGATAACAACTTCGAATAATCTTTCATTCTCTATAAAATACTTGTGCATTAAGTAATAAACAATCAAGCCTATTTATAGGCTTCAAGATTAAAGACATAATTGAAAGAGACTATAAACTATTAAAAGATGCATGAATTGCATCACCCTTTTAATTTTTCATATTAAATGGTGAATTGAATCACATTAAAAATAATAGATAGTGGGAATATGAAATGATCGTGAATATTTTTTTCATAACACTCCCCTCGAATGTCCATCATAGAAGGAACATGCCTCGTTAAAACCTTATTAGGAAAAAACCCGAGTGGAAAAAATCCTAATGAGAGAAAAAGAGTATAATATCTCTTGTATACATTAATCTCAATGTTGGCCTCCCCTATTGAAAACATCATTTGAGATCTTTAAGATGATGTATTTCAATTTTGTGAATCATCTTCTCAAAAGTTGTAATAGGTAATGCCTTAGTGAACAAATCTGCTGGATTGTCACTTGATCGAATTCTTCCTTTAATGAAATTATGCAAGCACCATTATCTTCATATGATTTATTAGAGCTTCTTTTGCTAGTAGATAAATCACATATCTCTTGGATATGATGGATCGTTGATCTTAGCTAAACACATTCTCGACTTGCCTCATGAATTGATATTTTTGCATGGTTTAAATATTTAGCTACTATAGTTTGCTTCATAGAACATCACTTGATTAAATTCTTCCTTTAATAGAATTATACAAGTATCATTATCTTTATATTATATTGTTAGAGCTTCTTTTGTCTGGTTGATAAATTGCATGTCTCTCGGATATGATGGATCGTTGATCTTAGCCAAACACATTCTCGATTTGGCTTATGAATTGGTATTTTTGCATGATTTAAATATTTAACTACTATAGTTTGCTTCATAAAATATCATGATATAGCTGTATCACCAAGTGTAAATACATAACCCATTCATGATCGAGTTTGTATAGATTAGATAGATAACCCGCATCCGCATAACCAATTAAACCTAACTTTGATTTATTTGAGTGAAATAAATATCATATCAAATTTTTCTCAAAGATAACATAGGAAATGTTTAATTTCATTCCAATCTCCATATTGAAGTAGAACTATGACTTGCTAATAAATTTATAAAATAGACTATATCGAGTCGAGTATTATTAGCAAGATATATCAATGCACCTTAAGATAATGGTACTTCAAAACCAAGTAGTTCTTTGTTATCTTCTCGAGATTGAAAATAATCTTTTTGGATATCAAGTGAATGAACTACCATTAGGCTAGTCAATGGATAATCTTTATATAGAATAATTATAGAACTTTTTATATATAAATTGACTAATGAATAAAAATATCATTATCTAAATGCTCAAATTGTAGGTTGAGATAAAATTTTATTGCCTAAGGTATTCATATCAAATTCTCCTTTTAGCTAACTTATAGCATTTGGAATCTCTTCGGGAGTTACAATAATATTTAAATCATCATTATATATAGCAACTATCATAAACCCCTTTTGAATTTTTTTATAAAAATACATAAATAAATACGGTTATTTTTATAACCTTCTTTCAATAAATATTAATTGAAATAATTATACCACATGCACACTAGTTAGCAATAAA